TATGTGTTTTTAAATTATGTATTGTTATGTATCGTTTATTTTTTATTTTTTGTCTGAACCCCCCCCCTTCCCTGATTTGATTTGTTAGCCACCCTGAGTCTCCTTCGGGGGGGAAAGGGCGGCATATAAATATAATAAATTAAATGAATGAAATGAAATGGTCAGATGAGGTAGACCTGAAAACTCATTGATAGCCTCACTTTGCAATGAACAAGGACATATATCAATTTTGCACTACTAAGATTGTTGGACGAGCAGGTACAAAAACAGCCAGTGAAATAATTGAAGCTTGGGAAATTTGGCCCTCGCCAGTCAAGAGGAGTGCTGGTTTACCACCAGCCGACCAGGTACTTCGGAGCTGAGGCCTTGGCAGCATAAGGACACAACAGCCAATGACTTTTTAAAAAATGCTTTATTGAATAAACATTAAAAACATTGGACGAAGAGCATCCTTTCTGGTTTTGTCATTTCCATAATATTTTAACATAACAACAAATACAGTTTCTACTTCTCGTACATAGCTACATTAATCTTATTAACACATCCCTTTTCCCTCCTTTATATATTTATCTCTGTATTATCCAGTTCCAATTTTACAATCCTCAAAATATTGTGTTCCGGCTCCTTTTCCTTATTTCCAACCACGGTTGCATTTTGTTCCAAATTTCATAATATTCAGTCTCGTCTCTATTTTTGATTTCTAGAGTCAGTCTGTCCATTTCTGCACAGATGAAAATTTTCTTTATTCCCTCTTCTTCGGTGGGGGCATCTCTTGTTTTTTCCAATTTTGTGCCTATAACAATCTTGCTGTGGTTATCACGTGCAGCATTAAATATGTCACCCCTTTACTATATATTTTTTTCTTTTATTATTCCTACTGGGAATGGTTCTGGTATTAAATCTATCTTTTGCTCTAACATCTCTTCAAATCTGATGCCAAAAATCCTTGGCTTTTGTACATAAACACCACACATGACGAAAAGAAAGCCAGGTGAAGGAAATAAATAAATAATAAGTTACTCTTTCGTATAAAGTGTAAAATGTGACACAAAGATGTGGGACTCTTGGTGCTGTTTTTCTTGATTGTAAATTTAAGCGAAAAATATAAGCAGTAAAGTCAATACAGGATGACTTGCTAAAAATCCTTTGACGTTGAAATACAGACAAGCACACCAATTGGTGAGATGGTAACATCTTGCAGCCTAAATTGAAATAATAAAAGAAGCAGAGTTAAGAAAAAAAGGGGGGATCTGCAGGAAAAGTCATGCTGTCCTCTTAAAATGTGGATTAACCTCAAAGAATGATTTTGGAAATGGGGTGGGGCTTCTTCTTAGGCATCACGCATGATGAGTAGAAACGTGTAAATTGTATTACTTGAAATCTGTCCTTGCACTCCTGGTACTCAAGCCATGGGGAAGAGCAATATAGCAATAGCAGTAGACTTATATACCGCTTCATAGGGCTTTCAGCCCTCTCTAAGCGGTTTACAGAGAGTCAGCANAGAATAGAATAGAATAGATATTGGAATGAAGAATAGAATAGAATGAATATAAGAATAGAATGGAATGGAATGGAATGGAATAGAATAGAATTCTTTATTGGCCAATTGTGATTGGACACACAAGGAATCTGTCTTTGGTGCAGATGCTCTCGTACAGGTAAAAAGACATGAAAAGATACATTTCATCAAGAATCATCAGGCACAGCACTTAATGATAGTCATAAGGTAGAAATAAGCAATCAGGAAACAATCAATATCAATATAAATCGTATGGATACATGCAACAAAGTTATAGTCCTGCAGTCATAATTGGGAGGAGACAAATATCACTGTGCAATAGCAATCAAAATATCATTCACATTGATATTAATTCTCTAATCTTGGAATTATAGTGTATTAAATAGTTGAACATAGTGAACCTGTTCGTTTTTTCTTCTTAACACATCATCTAATAAAAATATAATAACATTAAGCATAATAATCCTCGTAATAATACTAACAATTTATCATATTATTTATATTTCTATTTTAACATATTTTCTACTCTTCTTTAATCTCCTTCTATTTCCAACTTCCATTTTCATTCTCTAACCATTGATAAAATAATTCCCATGTCATAAAATATTCAGTTTGTTCTTTCGCTTTGATTATTAGTGCTTGTCTATTCATTTCTGCACATTCTAATATTCTAATATTTTCCTAATCACCTTCTCTTCTGTAAAGATCTCTTCACTTTTCCAATGCCGTGCAAATACAATTCTAGGTGTGGTTAATACCTGAATAATTAAATATGTGTTCTCTTCACTATAAGCTTCAGGTAAAATGCCCAACAGAAATATTTCTGGTTTTAAATCAATGTGCTGTTTTATGATCTTTACTAATAATGCAAATCTTGATAAATAAGTCATGGTGATAAGGAAGTCGTGGCAGAAAACCCATCCATGAATCATCGGCAATTAAGAGTGAAATGACTAATGTTCGCCTCTCGTTTGAGAATAGAAAGAAATCTGGATTATATGATGGTTATCATCAGTGACGTGCGGTGAGGTTTATGGCTGGTGAGGCAAGCGGGCAAAAGCCGCCCTATGTCGGACACAGCTGCAGGGTGTTCGGAAGGCCTCTACCACACCAAGGGAGAACCCATCTTTCTCCCCTCTCCTACAAAACAGCATCAGAAGGAGAAAGGGGCAGATTATATTAATGAAGACACTCCACACTTAAAGTAGTTCCCCTTAGACAGGAAACGGGAAATGATTATAAACATGCCTGCTGAATGGTCAGGCTCCTCGCTGACCATTTGGATTGCCAAATTCAACTCAGACACTTCCCAGCTGAAGGATTTCCTACTGCCCAATAAATGCGTTTATTTATGGGAATGGTTCCAAAACATTAAAAAAANAGGTCTTCTTCTTCTTCTTCTTCTTCTTCTTCTTCTTCTTCTTCTTCTTCTTCTTCTTCTTCTTCTTCTTCTTCTTCTTCTTTAGTTCCAGGTTACTTCTGTCCTTGATTAGTTCCCCCCCACCCATTGCTTCTTGTCCTGCCTTCAAGTGCTTTGGAGAATTGATTGACCCCCTCTTCTTTGAGGGAGCCCCTCAAATACTGGAAGACTGCTATTATGCCGCCCCCACCCCCCACCCCACCAGTCCTTCTAGCCAAACCGAGATCCTGCAATGTTTCAGTCTCCAGGCCTTTGGTCACCTCACTTGCTCTTCTTGGCACTTTCCCCAAAGTCTCAAGATCTTTTCCATAGCATGGTTGACCAAAATCGCTTGCAGTATTCCAGGTGTGGCCTTACTGGGGTCTTCTGGTGGAAATCTTGCACTCTGGGTCCGTTGCGAGCCAACCCTCACACTCTGTGACCTGTGTCATCTGTCTTAATCCCGTCACGTGATCGGCCTGGGAATAACACTTGGCTTCCCTGCCCCGTCCTTGGGGTGAGGGATGATGGTCTCCTTTCTGCGTAAGCAAGTGGTTTTACTCCTTAATTGCTAAAGGGAAGTGGTCAAATAATCCCAGCAAGAACCGTAGCAAAATAACTCGGAAGAAAACAAACCCCAGGAGCAAAATGCGGCATGTGACACATTTTAAAAAAGGGATATTTGACTCCCTCCCGATACGCTCACCAAGGAGTCATAACATCTTCCTGCGAGGAAAAAAGAAAGAAAAGGGGAAAAGAAAGCAAAGCAAAGCAAAGAGCATTTTCGAAGACATTTGTCATTTTCCTGTCACTCGGGGCCTCGAAGAATTAACTTTCTTTGACATCACTTCGCAGGGTTGAAAACTTTACTTGGAAGCAAAGGATGTGGGTTTGGGAAGCAGGGAGGGAGAGGGAGGGAGAGGAGGGAGAGAGAGGGAGAGAGAGAGAGGGAGAGAGAGAGAGAGAGGGAGNTCTCTCCTCTTTCTCTTCTCTTTCTCTCTCCTCTCTCTTTTCTCTCTCTCTTCTCTCCTCTCCCTCTGTCTTTCTCTCCCCTCTCCCTCCTTTCTCTTTCTCTCTCCTCTCCTCTCTTTCTCTCTTCTTTCTCTTCTTTCTCTCTTTCTTTCTCTCTCCTCTTTCTCTTCTCTTTCTCTCTCCTCTCTCTTTTCTCTCTCTCTTCTCTCCTCTTTCTCTCTCTCTCCTCTCCCTCCGTCTTTCTCTCCCCTCTCCCTTCTTTCTCTCTCTCTCCTCTCTCTCTCTCACTCCTCTCTCTTTCTCTCTCCTCTCCTCTTTCTCTCTTCTTTCTCTTTTTTCTCTCTTTCTTTCTCTCTCCTCTTTCTCTCCTCTCTCTCTCTCCTCTCTCTCTCTCCTTCCCTCCCCTCTCTCTTCTTTCTCTTTCTCTCTTCTCTCTCTCTCACTCCTCTCTCTTTCTCTCTCTCCTCTCCTCTCTTTCTCTCTTCTCTTTCTCTGTTTCTTTCTCTTTCTTTCTCCCTCCTTTCTCTCCTCTCTCTCCTCTCTCTTATCTCTTCTTTCTCTCTCTCCCTCTCTCTTTCTCTCCTTCTCTCCCCTCTCTTCTTTCTCTTTCTCTCTTCTCTTTTTCTCTCCTCACTTTCTCTTTCTTTGTCTTTGTCTTTCTCTCTTTGTTTTATCTTTCTCTTCTGTCTCTTTCTCTCTCTTCTTTCTCTCCCCTCCTCCCTTCCTCCCTCCCTCCCTCCCCCCCCTCTCTCTCTCTCTCTCACACACACACACACTCCCCAAGAAAGCTGGCCTATCAGCCTGGAAAAAGGAGGTCCATTTTGAGGTTTGCTCTTCAGCCAAAGCTCATTGGTAACCGAATGATTTGGCAGGCCACTCCGTGCCAGGAGAGATAGGATGTGACAAGGGGTTGTGAAGTTCACGAAACGCCTCACCACAAGTTGTCTTGAACACAAACTCGGGGATTAGTCAACAGCTTAAGAAAACACTAGTTGGCTAGTTTGTCTCCACAGGATTTACCACAGTCTCGAGGCCAGGAGAGAAAGAGAGGAAACGTACGGTTTTGCCAAATTCGCCACGCCGGAGCCTTCCCATCTGCAGCTTCTGCTAGGTAGGGGGACCCATCCTTCGCTTCGGAATCCACTCTTGGCATTGTTGGGGAAATGCAGCTCTTCGGTTGTTAGCTTGCCACGAAGGGACCTAGCTTCCACGACCCCTATTTTTAAATCTCTGTGCCCCACCGTGACAGCTGACAGCAGCAGCAGCGTCCTGCAGACTGGGGGGGAAATGCCACAGGCCAATGGGAGCCACAAGCCATGGTCAGACACTGGAGCGAGGAAATGTCTTTTTTTTATGTCTGTTTGGGTCACTCTTTCAACACGGAGGAAGACCAAGATAAATAAACCACACGGAACATACCATAAAATGTCTCTGGGACTCAGTCGAGCTTCAAGTTTCCTTCTGACTTCACGCTGAGCCTCCCTCCCATCCTGAACATAACTTAATTGTGCCTTCTTGATCCTTCGTCCCCATTTCTGAGACTGGCTTTATTTTTTTTATTTATTGGAATGTGTCAAAACGAGAACAATGGAATAAAAATACAAGGGCAGGGACGATAGGCCACTTGAGCGTGAGGTTATGTCTGCGGAAGTCCATTTGTGATTGAAATTTGGAGCATCCCAGGTAGGGCATCCCAGATTTTGACAACTCTATTACAGAAATAGTATTTTTCCATTTAGCACCTGAGGGCAGGACAAGAAACAATGGGTGGAAACTAATCAAGGAGAGAAGCAACCTGGAATTAAGGAGAGGTTTTCTGACAGAACAAATAACCAGTGGAACAACTTGACTTCAGAAGTTGTGAATGGTCCAACACTGGACGTTTTAAAGAAGAGATTGGATATCCATTTGTCTGAAGTGGTGTGAGGTTTCCTGCCTGAACAGGGGGTTGGACTAGAAGACCTCCAAGGTCCCTTCCAAACCCTTCAGGTGCTTTGAAGAATAATTTGACCCCTTTCTTCTTCTTCTTCTTCTTCTTCTTCTTCTTCTTCTTCTTCTTCTTCTTCTTCTTCTTCTTCTTCTTCTTCTTCTTCTTCTTCTTCTTC